TAGATTCTCTGTTCAGTTAAAGGAAACACAAGAGGATACCAATTTCGACATTTTCTTTGAAAGAAGAATGATTCTAAATTAACAATAATAATTTCTTGTTAAGTGAAAAATATGTGTCTCTGTATAGGAATATTTCCTGGACGAAGCAATGTATGAACTTGATAATCAACTAATTTGTAAAGTCGCAAAGAAAAATGCTAATAAGAAAGAAAGAACAGGAAAAGAAACAAAGAAAGATGTGATCCTAACTGCAGTGTCTGGACATAACCACTAGATGGAAACCACACATTACTGATATGATTTATTCTTGTTTTCATGAAAACTGTTGGTTCTGATACAGACTTTACAAAATACAACATTAGGTTTCAGAGCAGAAAGGAAATAAACCAGAGTCACCAAGAGTTCCTAAAGTTATGTCTGCAATGTGTGAAATATTCTGTAAAGAGTTATGCAAAGGAGAAATTTCCAAACGCAGTATCAAATCTAAGAATTAAGACATACAGATTTATGGTTAGATTCTAACTGTTCATAGATGTCCAAAATTTTGCCTTATATTATGTTTCAGTCTTTTGTTTGAAATGTTTAATTTAATCTTTTATGGGAGGGTTTTTCACGGGTTATTAGTAACTTCTTTCTATTGCCCAGTGCTGTATTCCGCTGTTTGTTCACCCCTTTGTTTTCAGTGTACATATTTTTGTTGGGCAAACATGATGAAAAGATTAAACATGTTACACCGTTTATTTTGACAGCTCTTTTCCAAATATAATTCATAATCATAAAAACATAAACACTCATGCAATAGAATACCGTTTGCAACAATAAACCAGCCATCGTGAGACTTAGATTTGCTTAATTTAATTAGCTGATCAATCACTGTGGTGTCTGGAGTTACGGGATATTCTATTGTGTCCGTTCTCTTTATGAATAGGATAATCTGACCTTCTACACAAACACACACATGCACACAAGGCCAGCAGTGTAGGGTAGTACTTCTTATTCAACGTTGGGTTGCTACGGTCGTTTTAGACTTCCTTCTGAATAACAAAGGAAGGAGGTTCATTTTTCCTTCTTTTTTTTCTCTTGTTAATCGTCCTCCATGATTGCTTTCTACATGTTAAAATCTTCTCAAACTGTCCTTTTCAAGTTTCTTACAAGCAGGAAAATGCTTATTTCGAACTAGAGCAGAATGAAGAACTGTAGGTTGCTTTATTGCCTTGATTAAGAGAAGCATTATTCATTTTACAAATAGGCTCTGACGCCTAACATTCATTCATCCTTTCATCACATTGATTCTGTGTTAACCATTAGCTGTCGCAGGGCCCGTAGGTGGTCAGCCACTCAGGTCCTCTGGAGTTTCCCAGTAACAACCTAGCAACCAGTGTCTCATCACTATAACAACCTCTTCATGATTGAACAGCCTGGTCCAAAGTCCACATCTCCTGTCCTTTAGCCCCAATAAGCCAATGGGCTGTTTTTGGAAGGTCTTCTGCTTCACTTCTAAAGCATGTACCAAAACAGGCCTCTTGAATATTTTGGAGAAAATGGAGGTAAGAGTATGTAAGAAAACTAATGCACCTGGAGGACATTACGAATGACAGTCTTTACCTGTTGTAGTTATGAGTGGTTACTATTTTTTGTATTATCTGTACTCATTCATCTGTACAACCTTCTTGTGGCTCCAGATTAGCATCAGATCTGCTTTTGCATCAGTTGTAAATACTAGCGTGTGCAGTCAAAACAAAGCGTTGGAATGGATCATAATAGGCTTTCGATATTTAAATTCCATAAGGACCTTATGTGGGCCTTGTCAGTTTGCAACAAGAGGTCCCTGGTTCAAATCCCAATCGGGGTTTGTCTCTGTGGAGTTTGCATGCTCCCCCCGTGGATGCTCAATGGTTACTCTAGCCTTTTCCCAGTGTCAAAAAACAAGCATGTTAGAAGAACTGGTGTCTCTACTTTGTCCTTGGGAGTATACATTTTTGGTATTGTGAGAATTCTATATCTTACAACAGGTGTAGAAAAATGGATTGAACTGACAAGGACAGAACTGTTGTCTGTTAGATAAATGATGACATATGTCTTTCCACGTGTCTAGGAGCTGGATGAGGCTCTTCAGAATATAAACCCAGTCGCAAAAGAAAAAAAAAGTTCGTCCCCAGACAATGCAGATGTGTATAAACTCACCATTCCTCAGAGGACACCCTGGGGGCTTGCTAAATAATGTCCCTGCTAGTTTTCAAACAGCAAAAACTGGTCAAGTTTGGATGCCAGAAGCTGGAAGGGTATTGTTGGATCTGGCCTGGTTGTCCCACATTGGTCCAATCCAAAAAGTATGTGGAAGGATCTGAAGTGTGGGCTACGTTGACTCCAAATAACGTGCCTGAGCCTATAAGAGTTGTCATTGGATGAGAAGCAAAGTACCCTGGACAGGTTACCAGTCCATCACAGAGCCATTTCTAATCTTACTAACCAAGTGTTACAAATATCTGCAACTGCAAGTTAAATCCATAACTTTTTATTTTTAAAATCCTTCTTTGTTGCAAAATTAAATCACACTTTAATCATTAAAAGTCGTGGAATCATAAGCAAGTGACTCTATATAGTCAATACACTGATAAATCTTTTTAGTTGTATTTTAAATATTTGTTAAAAATGGCCCAAAAAAATTAGGTTGGAATTTGCAAGGCATCACATTCCGGTATAGTGCCGACTTGTTAATCACTAGATTCATTCAGCAGGAAGATTTAGTTATTCCCTGTAAGGTCCACCTGATTTCTCCTTTTTTCTCACTTCGCCTGTTCTTCACTTGTTTTTAAAATAGAACAATCAATAAACACCAATAAACAATGTTCTTACATTGACAGCATATATCATAAAATTGCAACAAGAGAAAATCTTGAAGTTATTTCTTACTGCTCATTCATTGTAGGGTCATGGAGGGGCTGTAGCCCAGTTGTCATTGGGCATGAGGCCGAGTACAGCCCTTAACAGGTCGCCAGTCCCTCAAAGGGTTACAAATCCCTGTAAAAAAAAAAGGGCTCTGGAGAACATTTCTGTTCCCCTAGGAACCCTCTTAACTCACGTACCCTTTGGGACTAATAACTAGACCAAGAGAGGAACATATTTGTACTTTTAAAGGTCCCCAAAGATTAAAATATGTTCCTAAGTTGTCAATGGAAAACATTCAAAGGCACGATATCAAGAAGTTTGACGGTGCACAAATACTAACAATATACACAACTATAGACGCTCACACTCGCTCAAACACACAAACCTAAGTGGCCAGAACTTTAACCTTTATGTTTTTAGACTGTGGGAGGAGTTTCTAGAGAGGACTCACACATACAAAGGAAGAACATGCAGAGTCCGAAGAGAAAGCCCCCCCATCTCGGATTTGAACTCCGGCTGTGAGGCTTTGCTAACCACACAATTGTGAAGCCTCAAATAAGACCCAGTTTTGTTTGAAGGACGATTATCGGGAATGAAAAACTGATCATCAGTCCTCATGGACCACATAAAAAAATATGAAGATCGGTAATGTTATACAGGTTACAATGGCTGTTTTCACTCAGTTTATAGTAGTTTATGTTGTTTGTTATACCTGTGTCCCTCTGAAGTCTTCTGGATTAAGTCATAGTGGACAAAGATCCACTTTGCCGTTGTGTTAAATCTTTGGATCTACCATTTCCCCCCCTACAAACTAGTAGTGATAGATTGAGATGCATTAGTCGTTTCAGCCTGTCAAATAATCTGACTTATTATATATTTGATTCAGTGGCTAAATATTACAAAGATTCCCCAAAAAAAGTCTTAAAGTATTGCAACAAGCTTGCCTATGATAGCTTGTAATTGGCAGCTGAATTCCAAGATATCCTGTATGTGAGCTAAATGTGCATGTGAACAGTTAGGAATTAGAATAAATTGGCTGCCTGTGTCTTTTACACACTTCCTTTGACACCAATTGGATTAAGTCAGGGGCCTCCGGGCCTCAAGGGCCGCTGTCCTGCAGGTTTAGAGGTTTCCCTGCGTCTACACACCTGATTTAGATAAAATGGATCTCTTCTAAAGAGTGTTAAGCTCTGCACAGGACTACTGATTATGTTTTAATGTGAGTAGTTTGAGCGGTGGTCTTCTCACTTGGAAAATAAATAGATTTTCTCAAGTATCATGCATCTTTATCATAAAAATGGGGCTTCATCCTCATTATAATCAGAAAAAGCAACATTGTATAGTGGCCTCAAATAACTCTGGTTATGAATTGATGCTGTGTAAACAATACTGAAAGGAATATAAAATAATGAAATGTTATTTCTGAACCACTAATCCATCAAATACCAGATTTTAACCATGTAAAAAGTCTCAAAAGCACATTCTTGAGAAATATAATTCTCAAAGTTTGTGACATCATCATAATGGTCCTTATCTACATTTGAATTGTCATTTATAATCCTCCTCATCACTAAAGGCATCAAGACGATTGTTCCAATAATCGAGTTGGAATTTGTAGCATCTTAAAAGTCGTGCCTAAAACTGAAATGATGATGATCATGACAGTCTTCAGTCTTCACTATGGAGGATTAGATGAATAAATCTATTATTATCTATGTAGCCTGATGCTTTTTATTATATCACAATGCAGTGATAACTTGACATATTTGTGAACATATTTGTCTTTCAATGATGTTGTTGTCCTCAAATGAAATACATTTAAACCCTTCCCACCCCTCAGGTGTAGCCACGGACAGATGGTCAAGTTTTCTCTCTCTCTCTCTCTCTCTCTCTCTCTCTCTCTCTGGCTGATACAAATGGAAGATTTGTCACGTGACCCCCGGGGCCGTTTACATGACGTAAGTACCATATGGCGCGTGCCGCGAGGGTGTGGCCTCGATATGCTAATTGCACCCGGTCCCGTCCGGCGTGGAGCTCACGCGCGCGCGGGCGGGAGAGAGAGAGAGAGATGCTGAGTATAAAAGCGGCAGCATCCCACACACACCATTCACAAGCTCCATCCGACCCCGCACGGCCACGCACGGACGCAGAGAGACGCGCGGGATGCCAGCAAACTGACGGATAGCGGCTCGTTACAACAGGTAGGTCTTCAACGGAGTGATGGTCGAGAACGAATCCCGCCCCGTGATTGGTCCAGGGAACTTTTGCGTCGTCTTGATTTCTGATTTAATTATTTCTCTTAAACAACACTTAATTGGTTTTGAAAGGTAATCTAAATGTTGTTTTTTTTGTTGGCCAACCCCAAAATTATTTAGGTGAATGTACCAGAAACACAATATTGCGTCAATTATTGATCAGAATAAAATTAACCTCTTAACCAGAAAGTTAATTTAACCACTTCAACTTAAGACAAACTTATCTTTATAATTATTTAAGTTTCTTTTTTTCTTATATGTTATTTGTTATTGTTGTCCACATTTTTTCCAACATATCCTTTCCTTTATTTATAGAAATATATTTGCTTTAAAAAAGTAGCTCGTGAGGCACGATCTATTTGCATCCTCAAACTGCGCAGCTCACTTCCACCTGTTTCACCTGGAAGATTAGAAGAATAAAACGGTTCATTAATATAATTAAAAGGCGCTCTGAATAATTTCTAAATAATCATTTATAACTGTGCTGAATTTTATCTAAATATTTAACTGAAAACATTTTGTTGAAAGGACAAAATAGTTATGTTCGACAAGCAAATTATATACCGTCGCTTTGGCTATATCCAAAGGAGACTAACGCTGTTATTTCAATTATCTGTTTAGGTGGGTGTTTATTGATTTGGTTTGTATTTGCTTTTAGGCAGTTTCTTATTTTAAAAGATTAGTATCAAGTCGTTTTATATCTTGTAAACAATCGTTTGAAGTTAATTAGAATTTTCGTCCAACATAGTTTACGTTTAAATATTTTCACTTTGATTAAGAGAATATTTGCTCACTTTTGAGTTTTTTGCGCCCGAGAAACATTCTAAAAAGTAGATATTTAATTTACTTCCCCTTTTTTGTTTTATTTTCTGCTCTTAATCCATTTAATTCAAATATATAACGGTCGGCCTCAATTTCTTTCTTTCTTCCTTCCTTCCTTCCCTCCTTCCTTCCTTTCCTCCAAACATTAAAATGAAACACATTTTCTTAGCTTGATCTAAAAACATATAAATCAGAAACTTGACGTGTCCCAAATTTCTTGCAGGATTAAGTCCCTACTTTACTTTTTCCAAATCCATCCTCTAAGCCAATAAGAAGTGTTCGTCCAGCTATTCCCCGCTGCGTGATTTGATTTTTCGAGCGTCTTTTATGATCTCACAATGAGCGCATCTCTCGTTTTCCTCAGAAATTCGGCACCATGACCAGGTCTGTGCGGGAGGAGCACGACTCCGTGGAGTCGGAGGAGCAGCAGGAGGTCGGCAGCCCCGGGAGTGAGACAGAGAGGGGAGGCAGGGGCTCAGGGGTAGGGGAGGACGACGAGGACCGACTTCACCATCTGGAGGAGGACGACGATGAGGATGACGATGAAGAAGATGACGAGGAAGAGGAAGACGGTGAGAACAAACCGAAGAGGCGAGGGCCGAAAAAGAAGAAGATGACGAAGGCTCGAATGCAGAGGTAGGCTCGATCCCTGAGGAGGGAAACGCATTTGAAAGACATTTCAACCATACCTATTGGGTTCAATGGCTGGACAACTGGCACAATTAAAAAAAAAATTGGAAAAAAATGTTTTAGAGAACACACATTTATCAAATGTGATAAACCTCAAATGATATAAGCAAGCAATGTTGTCCCCAATCTTAAAAAAATATATATGACTCATTCTTTATACAAACAAACTAGGAAGAATATAGTTAAATGTATGTATAAGTATTATTTTTGTGAGTTATTTGTATTAATTGAATTATTAAGTGCACATATTCAGCCCCTCAGGTCATCAAACGCTTTAATCAAACTGAATAAGGAATTAACCTTTATCAAAATGAGATAGTAACTCGCTCTTACATCAGCTTCACAAAGTTTATCATTGGGAAAAATGAAGACAAATATAGAGAATGCGAAGAATGACTTGGTGCACTGTGCTTTTATGCAACCCTTCTCCTCCCTGGAGCTTTTTTAAATATTCAATATTCTGTATTTTTGGTGTGCATGACCAAATGTAAGCTTGTAAATTTGAACCGGTATGTAACACTAATAAAAACCAAAGACAAAACATCAACATTTTCAGGCCAGTCTTCCCGACAAACTCTACACGGCTTGAGAGCCTTTTAGAAACATTTGTGGAATCCCAAGCCAAGAAATATGTTCACATTTCCCCAAACATATACCGGTTTATACTTGGTTCATAAAAAAAAAGTCACGATATAGTACCAGTTGTCACTACAGAGGCCCTAGGCTCATTTATCTGAGATCATTTGATGGAGACAAGGTTTAAAAAATAAATGCTGAATCTATTGTAGAGTAGAAAGGACTTTATTAAACATGGTAACTTCTTAAAGGTGCTGATATTTATCCTGCATGATATGTGAACTGTCATATAGTACATTGTTCCTTGATACAGGTCATCTTTTTAAAGAAGTTACAAATAAAAAATGAAGTATCAGTTGGTCAGTTGTTTAAAGATCACTATACTTTCTGTTTGGGCAGATTTAAGATCCGTCGGATGAAGGCCAACGCCCGGGAGAGAAACCGTATGCATGGACTCAATGATGCTCTGGAAAGTCTGCGGAAAGTTGTACCTTGCTACTCTAAAACCCAGAAATTGTCCAAAATTGAGACTCTACGGCTTGCCAAGAACTACATCTGGGCCTTGAGTGAGATTCTGCGCTCTGGCAAAGCACCCGACCTCATGAGCTTCGTCCAGGCGCTCTGCAAAGGTAGCCCCTCGGCCAGTTTGGTCCCCTAGGTTGAACGAAGATCAGCATTATACTCGGGCTTCCTCCCACTGTCCAAAAACATGCATATTAGGTTAACTGAGCACTTTAAATTGCCCGTAGGAGCGAACGTGAGCGTGTGTGATTGTGTGTCCCTGCAATGGACTGGTGGTCTGTCCGGGGTGTCCCCCTTGGCCGTAGTCAGCTGATATAGGCTCCAAATTCTAAATTCTCTTAATCCACATTAGGCATAATCCATATATATTTTTTTTCCATTCTCTTTGGACACAAGAACTTAAATATGCAAATTAATTCTCATGTCAATGTTAATGGCAGCAATCAGTAATATTTATTGCCCAGTATATAGTGTTTAGCATCAATATATAAACAGTAAATACATCAATTTATGAACATATATCAAAAACAATATATTTAGCTATTGGGATTTATAAAAAAGTACCAAAATAGCATTTTTAAAATGTCATTTTACATATGTAACCAGATTTTTAAACAGTAACATGAACTGGTAACAATAAATGGCCTAACAGTAGATATTCAGGCTTATAAACATTCTTTTATACATTTCAGAAGTACCAAAAGCTGTTTATATTCCATTTTTATACCCAACCTCGCTTGGAATTTAGATACACTTAATGAAATATTGAAGAACTAATTAAAATGTAGTCACATTTGAACACCGACGCATATTAACAGCCATTCATGTTTATGGATGAGTTAAATATGTATGTACATTCATGCATTCATCTGTGCTAACTGATAACCTTTCTCTGTTATCAGGTCTGTCTCAACCAACCACAAACCTTGTGGCAGGTTGTCTGCAGCTGAACCCTCGGACCTTCCTTCCCGAGCAAACACCGGACCTCCCGGCTCACCTGCCCCCCGCTGGCGCTGCCGCCTATCCCGGACACTTCTCCTACCAGAGCCCCGGGCTGACCGCCGGCCTGCCCAGCCCCCCTTATGGCACCATGGATCCCTCTCACATCTTCCACCAGGTCAAAGGTCAGCCCTACGGCCCTCTGGAGCCCTTCTTCGACGGCGTCCTGGTGTCGGACGGCCCGGCCTTCGACCCGCCCCTCAGCCCGCCGCTCAGCATCAACGGGAACTTCTCCTCGTCCTTCAAGCACGAGGCCGTCGTCGCGTCCGAATACGACAAGAGCTTCTCCTTTAGCGTCCACTACGGCGGCGGAGGGGGCGGAGGCCACGCCGCCATCTACGGCAGCGGGGGGCCCAACCCGCGCTGCGGCGGCGAGCTCCAGGTGGAACAGCTGATGGGATTTGACGGACACTCGCACCACGAGCGGCTGATGAACGCCCAGCTGAACGCCATCTTCCACGAGTCCTGAGGGAGACGGGGACGAACCAGCGAAAGACTGACGGAGACAGAGAGACCGTTACACGGAAAGACAGGCCGTCATGTGTACTTTCAACATTTCATAGATGTCCTTGAGTCTGTCTTTGCTTTTTCTTCTTTCTGTCTGCGTCAGTATCTGCAACTCCATGTGACGTTGGCATAAAAAAAACGATGTAACCTTCTTTGTAGCGCTTCGTCCAGGAGGAAACGCTCTCTGAATGTCTTGTTATTATCCATATTATCATTTTAAAAGTAATCAATAATCAACGAGCAATAATCTGGAGAAAACTATGCAATTTTGTTAAAACCTGAGCAACGCTCAACTGATAATTCCAAATGTTGAAAGACTAAAGATTTGTCTATTTTTTGGGTCAGCGTGTGAGGCGACATTGGGCCGGCATGGCGCCGGTCTTGGGCTGAAGTGATCATGTTCTGTGGTTTTTACTTTTTGCTTTTTATAACGTTCCTGTAGCGTTATGTTAACATTTCATGTGACTTGTTCATATTTTATAAGATAGATGTTTATAAAGGCCTTTTATTAAAAGGAATTTCATGTGATTGGACTTTGAGACTGTTTCTCTTAAACATCACGACAACAATAAGAAAACACTGACTTTGACCAAGTCAGCGTCTTGTAGTCCCTTCAGAAACTCTGCATGAGTTTATAAAGGTATTTATTCATTAAACACATCTGAAAGGATCTAAAATACTACAAAAATAAAATTAAAAACAACTCTCCACAACTAGTGTTACAGAGAAGCAAAAATAAAGAGCAGATAAAATTCATATTAAGCAAAACATATCTGCAACAGAAACCAAATATAATGACAAGTTATGTTTGTTGCATATTCATTGATACAATGATATTAATTAATAATAAAAACTATCAAACAATTCAGGTCTATCATGAGGTTTGCGTATTCAAATGGGCTTTTAAAAATGTTAAAGGCTTTTAAAATCATTTCGAGTACGTTTTTGACTAAACTATTTTTACTTTTACAGAAATATTTTAAATTTCAATACAAAAATGCAAGAAACCCACAGATTTACAGGCACTCATGCTTTATTAAAAACAAGACCCCAAGAAGTAGGGATTTAAAAGGTTTCGGGTTTCACATGTTTAAGCTCCAATAACTGTACTGAACACATAGGGGATGCATGTCTGCCTCCAAAACATTGGCCCAATGTCTGAAGGACAAAACCAGGATTGCCATGTGTGTGTGAAGGGCACAGATGTTCGTTCTGCAGGCAAGATTTTAATTTATGAAAATGATCTTGTTTATGCATGAGAGCCCCACTCCACACACATTGCCGTCCTGCTGTGTGTGTGTGTGAGTCAACTGGGACAATATGGTGGCCATATCCCACCACTTAGCCTCCTTATTAAAGTGGAATAGTAATGAGAGAAAGACTCCATAAAGAATGCTCCTTATCGAAAAGGACATAAACAATTTCCTGGAAAATGTTGACGTCTTTATATTATGGATTCTACACACATAACAAAAGAAAATCAAACTGGAGAAAAAAGGTTCACATTGTCCATTTCTTTTTATTTTGTCCTTTATTCGGAGAGTGAGAAGAGAAGCAGTGGGAAAAAAAGGCAGACAGATATAGAACTGGATCATGCTGATCAATCAGGATGCCAAGCTTTTTTTCTTCAGATGAATAAACAATGATAAGAAAACATTTAGAAAAAAATTGGTCAAAACAGATGGACTGTTTACTGTAAAGTACTTTATGTTCTTAGTGGACCATTTTAACAATGTTGCATATGACATTTTTTTATTGCACTCAAAATGCAGCTATTTTAGTGGAAGCTAAAGTATCAGCAGTATTAATAGCAGCCTTTGTGATTGCGGTTTTATGTTTCAGTCTGTTGGCTGATCATAACACTGATTAATGCAGCTTAAACTCAGCCATCTGTCAGCAACACACACGCTGTGTGTTGCTCATAATATAGTACTTATACCACAGCCACCCTCCTCTCCGATTGGCTGGCAGTTATCTGCTAAATCTTATCACAGGACACATAACTAAACAACAGTCAAGGTACATTAAACTGCAGGTAGATATAGCAATGGCAGTGATATCTCATGTTCTTTTTACAGAAAACTGACAAAGGTCAAGATAGTTTTAACTCATGTAGTATATCATGAGAGACTATATAAACAAATGTCAGTGGAAGTGCTTAAAACTACATAATTTTTGTGGCTTATATGTTTGTCCTATCAGACACTCATCACTTCTATAATAATGAAATAAATCATGTTAGAACCAGAAATGTCAGATTATTTCAAAGTATTGTTCGTCAATTCTCTTGTCAGGTTTTGACACCAAACACCTTTTATCCCAAACTGTTAACACATTAAATCCCATTTCAGTGTAGTTCATAAGTTCATAGTTTAGAATTTGGATTCAACAGACTCAAATATATATATATCCCTTTGAGAATCTCATAGTTTTTTCTTATTATATTGAATATTTAAAGGTAAGTGGGAAGGCAGAGTCCAAATCCGGCTCTGTGTGAAATTTCTTCTGTTCAGTTTTTTCTTCCCACTGTGATCTTTTGCAACTGGGCATCATACTGAAGTATGATATCCAGTGCAATATACTGGTTTCACTGGGAAGGCAACGCTTTGTTGCACTTAGCCCAGCTTAAATTGGACCAGTTTTGCAACTTAAGTTAAAGTGATTTAATTGGATAATAATTCTACAATGAGTTAAACTAACTGGCTTGCATGGTGTGGTGTCTTTGATGTGAGTTTAACAGAACTTCTGTTAAAATGTTGGCCAAATTGGAACTAGCATTCTGTCATAAGAAAGAAAATCTTTTTTGGTGACTTCTTTTGGGTTTAAAATAAGGTCAGATGGTTATCGAAAAAGAAGAGCAGAATCCTCAGTTTTATCCTCCCAAAGACAACTAATCATTGTCTAAAATGACCTAGTTAAATAAGTTTTTAAGATATTTGGGGCCAAACAGAATATGTGTTGTATGACTTTTAAAACAACAACAAATGGATAATAAATAAACTTTTAGAATTAAACTGTTACCAACAGTGCTGTCGCTCTGAATTAGATCAACGGACGCGCGTTCCCGTTTGAAAATTGACTGGAGCGCGGACGCCCTTTGATTAGCACACGGAAAGATCTGCCGCGCGCCCAAGCTGTTCGCCCAGTAAAGCTGCTGCCCGTCGCCATAGCGACGAGACCCCGGAAATACACCGTGATCAGCTTACTGGATGTTTATCACAGGAGCATAACCGCCGAGTTTGTTTTGTTTTGTTGTGTTTGTTTGTTCATTGGTTTTTCGATTGATTCAGAAAACATGTCCGAGTCCGAGGAAGTGGTGAGAGGAGAGCAGAGAGACGGCAACAAGAGGAAGAAAAAGAAGAGGAAGGAAAAGAAGAAGGACATAGAGGAGGAAGAGGAGAAACGGGAAGAAGGCCAGATAAAGGAGGAGGAGAGGTGAGTAGTATTTGAGGTTTCTCCATTAAGTCACATAGAACAGTTCGTATATCCAAATCATGAGGCCAAGGAGAGAAATGTGTGAATTTCCACAGATAAGTCAAAAGCAGCAGAATTCTTTGAGTAAAAGCCCTCTACCCAGAATGCATTTCACTGCTTCAAGTTGAGATATTTAAGTATACAAAGCTGTGCTATTCACTTTATGTTCTGTGTGCAACACATAGTTTTACTGATTGTGTGAATGAAGAATCCACTTTTTCTGTTATCATTTAGTATATAACAACTTTTAACCGAAGGGCATTGCATTTAGTTGTATTTTTATGCCAAAATTTTCTCTAGGGAGGTTATATTAGAAGCTGTACAACTTATTATTAATTTCTATTGCTAGCAAAACACAAAATGGATGGAGATACAGCATATAATGATAAACAGGCTTTGTACAGTTCTTACAAACTTGAGTACCTTAATTGTTCAGCACAGCCTTGAGTCTGGTAGGCAAGGTGTCTTGTCCTTTCTTTAAAAACATTTTCAGATCTTCAGGAATACTTCTATAGTGTTGTTGAAGTTCAAAACTTGTTTTGATGTTGGCTGACTATGGTTTGTATGCATCTGAGGTCCTAACAAGTCTTTGGTGTACATTCTTCATTTCTAGTACAGTTTTCTCATTTTTTGCTTATTTCAGGGCATAATGCACACTGAAACAATTTTATGCCCATCAAACTGTCATCTTTGGCTTTTTTATTGATGCATCCATTCAAGGAATTGGAAAAACCTTTGTCACATACCAATAGACTAAACACTGGTTCATCCCAAAAGATGTCTTTAGATGTCTTTTCTGTGTTTGTCACTGTTAAGTGGCTTAATAAAAAAAAGAAAAGATAGGACATTGAAGCACCATCAGAAAACCTTGTTCAAGACCATTTTAAAAGATTAAAAAATAGGTTTTGATGCAAATGGTGGCCCCACTAACATCAGATGTTTTTAAAGATACTATGAGTTTCTCATTGAACATAGAGGAGTGTACTCTGTGTCACTGTTTATATAATTAGTAGGTTGGCTACTCAGTTGCATCATTGTTGTCATTCAGACAGCACAGCGGATAATATTGATTTATTGATAGATTAATTGATTGTGATGTTCATCATTCAAAAAGATAACCGTGTGAGAAATGCAACAACCATAAAGCTGAAGAAAGTGTAGGTCACATACTGAGCAGCTTGATGACTAGACTTCAATAACTTGTTTTACACTGATGTACCTGCCATAATCTTCGCTGATTTATGTACCCTCAGGATGTCTGATGCTAGGCACAGAAAAACCTCTGATGCTCCTAAATCACAAGTTAGGGTCATTTCATGTCAGTGTGTATATGGGTGAGAAAATGTAGTTTTAACTCTTAGTAGAAATACCTTTTGCTCAAATAGTTCAGTATAATTTTTTGGCTGGTTTAAAAAATTCACAAGAATGATATGTTTTTACTTTTACCATCTGATGCGATTTTGAATGTCTTTAGGCATTGGACTGTTGGTTAAATGTCCTTCACTGAGCATATTAAATGAGTGCATCAGTTAAAACTCCTTTTATCCGGAACTTATTTGAGGTCATGATCCAGGATATTGTGCAAATTTTATTGGTAAATTTTCTGAACTATCGTCTGCTCTCAACTCACATAGACAAGATGATGGATGGAAATGGCAAATAATTTTCTTCTAGGCTGGACATGCTTGGTTTGTGGCAATAAGTGAAAGAACCTAACCAACTTTTAGGAATTGACCAGGTCAATTCTGAAGGCGTTGATATTTCTTCTGTTGTGGTAACTGCTATGGCTTTGTCTCCCTATTTTTGTATTTCATTTGATATAGTGGTGACACATAATGTTCAAACAACTAGTTTCTTAGTTAAGGAGTGGTACATTAATGAGAAAACAAGTGATTAGTTTAGGAAAGACAAAGCTATGTCACCAACAATGAGCGTAGTCGTTTGACGGAATGCTGGATCATTTCAGCTTCCAATCCTGAATGTAATGGAAACCAATAAGAATCAAGAGCACAACAAAAAACATGAAGAAACATCACTACAGTAAAAAACCTGAGTTTAAACCAGGAAAATGAGCTCTGACCACATCACACCTGTTTAAAATGATTACACTGGCTTCCAGTCAATCGCAAAATGGATTTTGAACCCCTGCTGATATTTGATAAATTCCAGATCGGTTTAGACTCACAATACATCTGTGATATGGTCAGAGAATATAAAGCTACCAGAGCTCTTAGATCAAAGGAGTCAGGTCTGCTAGTCCACACCTGAGTCCAGACTAAACATGGAGATGCAACAGTCTATTATGCTGCAAACAAATGGAAAAAACGGCCCGTGGAGATGAAATCTTAACCAAATGTACACATTTTTTAATTCAGGTTGATAAAAATTTATTTTCTAATGTGTCTATGCCTGAAATCTACACAATATCTTTTTATGATTTTGTTACTCTATGTTCTTTTGTTAGTGCTTCGTAATGACCCTTCTGCTTTGCACTGCAATGCTTTCATTTCATGTAAAGCACTTTGATTTTTTTTGTACATGCAATGCGGTATACAAATAAATTTGACTTGACTTGACTTTATACACTTGATGATTAATGTGATTTAAGCAAATGTAGATGAATACCTGATTGGTTGAGATAAATGATGTTTTTGTATTTTTTGTTGTCAGTGAGAGTGTGTTGCTGCATGGCATCTTCAAAGTGGGGAAGAAGAGTCATGATGTCCTGCTTACAAAAACCAGACTGACCTGGACTCCAATCATTCCTGAGACCCCCACAGGTAGGTTACAATGAGGATAGGTGGCCTTCGGATTCAGTATTCCTCCTGCTGTAAGACAGGGTTTGTGTGTGTCTGTCTGTGTTCAAGCAGCTGGTGTTGTAACAGAGAGCTGTATCTTGCAGAGAAAACTTCAATCAGTTTGACATCTGGATTCATCTGCATCACAAGACGATGTGGATCCTCTTGAGAAAGAGGAAAGTTAAACTCTTCTTTAAATATTTATATATGAAGAGGGAAAGTTTCTCAAATTGAAATGCTCTCTACTGTGCAACCAAAAAATAGAGTTTGAGAAGAAAAAAGCAAACACCTGAAAAATTCATGGCCATTTCTGCCTTTGAGTGTTGCTCATGTGGCTATGGCTGGCATGGTTGCTCACACTCACATTCATATCCTGTGTTTTTTGTTTTTTCTTCCTTACATAAATCCTCGTTAGCATAACTGTAAGAAAAAACATTAGTATAATTTTTTCATGTTGCTGTCACAAGGAACTGGAGGACAATTTTTAGAATTTAGGATGGTCTAATTCAAGTCCTGTTTGCACTCCAAGTGTCCTGAAATTATGTATAATTTAAAAAAAAATAACAAACCTGCCACACATGCCTCTGCTTTAAAACAATGTGAATGGTATACAGTGGGGGAAATATGTATTTGACCCCTTGCTGATTTTGCAGGTTTGCCAACTTACAAAGAATGCTTATTTTTCCTCATCAGATGGTTATCAATTTTTATAAATTCATATGATGTGATTTTCTGGAACTTTCTTTGGGATTCTGTCTTTCACTGTTAGAATGTACATATGATTAAAGTTATAGATCGTCGCATTCTTTGTAAGTGGGCAAACCTGCAAAATCAGTAAGGGGTCAAATACTTATTACACCCACTCTATGTGTCAATCTCGTCCAAAAATCATGAGTATATCAGATTTTTTAAAATTATATCTGCATATATTGTTCTCACATGAGCGACAAATTTGAGCATGTGGTCAAATTTATTAATTATATTAAGTACATAGCCTGCAGATCCTCATTAGATCATTTATTTGTGGCTGTGTAGAGAAAATTAAAACGTTCTTGGTAAAAACTGCTTTTCCCTAAGATTTCACTTCAATTTATGGAAGCATGAAGGCACAAGGAAATTAGCACCTTTTACGGGACTATTTTCTGAGGCACTTACTTAATTTACTAAAACAGTTGAGATTTAAGAGATAAGACAACATTCATGCTGTATGAGTTGATTAAGGCAACATTGGGTCATTAACCAACCATGGAATGATCTGCAGACTTGGGCATCTCCCATTATCTCACTTACCAACTGACTCGACTAACTAATGGTGCCTTTTCATTAGTTTAGATTGTTTTCCAATAGATGTGCAATCCTAACTTAAGTGACACAAACATGAGACAACGTCATGGCAACAATATAACGACTGTAATATAATACAACTGCACTTTTGTTGTTACCTTTAAAAATGGCTGGGGTTCTTGAGGAGGAATGGTTTTGATTACAGAATTTTCTGTTTGCTCAACCTAGCCCTCTTGGAAACCCAGACCAAGCAGGTGCTGCTTTTCAGCTGGGTTAACGGAGGCTCCATCCTCCTGTGCAGGTAGCCTGGGTTGGGTTATTTCTCCCTCTCTCTGGCCCCTTACCTGCGGAGCTACTTTCAATAAGTTGAGCAAAGAGAACATGTAACATTAAAAAACTGTAACTGTTAGGAGGCACCAAACCCCAATTTTTTATGTGACACAACTGAGACACAACAATGGAACACAATGCAGTGATGATATATCGACTGAACCATGTGAGAGGGCAACAATTTAGATTTTAATGTAGCCATTTACTCCATCAATGATTATAGAAAAAAATCAATTGTACATACAGGGATTGGACAATGAAACTGAAACACCTGGTTTTAGACCACAATAGTATATAAGTATGGTGTAGCGCCTCCTTTTGCGGCCAATACAGCGTCAATTCGTCTTGGGAATGACATATACAAGTCCTGCTCAGTGGTCAGAGGGATTTTAAGCCATTCTTCTTGCAGGATAGTGGCCAGGTCACAACATGATGCTGGTGGAGGAAAATGTTTCCTGACTCGCTCCTCCAAAACACCCCAAAGTGGCTCAATAATATTGAAATCTGGTGACTGTGCAGGCGATGGGAGATGTTCAACCTCACTTTCATGTTCATCAAACCAATCTTTCACCAGTCTTGCTGTGTTTATTGGCGAATTGTCATCCTGATACACGGCACCTCCTTCAGCATACAGTGTTTGAACCATTGGATGCACATGGTCCTCCAGAATGGTTCGGTAGTCCTTGGCAGCGACGCGCCCATCTAGCACAAGTATGGGGCCAAGGGAATGCCATGATATGGCAGCCCAAACCATCACTGATCCACCCCCATGCTTCACTCTGGGCATGCAACAGTCTGGGTGGTGCGCTTCTTTAGGGCTTCTCCACACCGTAACTCTCCCAGATGTGGGGAAAACAGTAAAGGCGGACTCATCAGAGAACAATACATGTTTCACATTGTCCATATCCCAAGATTTGCGCTCCTTGCACCATTGAAACCGACGTTTGGCATTGGCACGAGTGACCAAAGGTTTGGCTATAGCAGCCCGGACGTGTATATTGACCCTGTGGAGCTCCCGACGGACAGTTTTGGTGGAAACAGGAGAGTTTAGGTGCACATATAATTCTGCCGTGATTTAGGGAGCCGTGGTTTTATGTTTTTTGGATACAATCCGGGTTAGCACCCGAATATCCCTTTCAGACAGCTTCCTCTTGCCTCCACAGTTAATTGTGTTGGATGTGGTTCGTCCTTCTTGGTGGTATGCTGACATTACCCTGGATACTGTGGCTCTTGATACATCACAAAGACTTGCTGTCTTGGTCACAGATGCGCCATCAAGACGTGCACCAACAATTTGTCCTCTTTTGAACTCTGCTATGTCACCCATAATGTTGTGTGCATTGCAATATTTTGAGCAAAACGGTGCTTTTACCCAGCTAATTGGACCTTCACAGTCTGCTCTTATTGATTCAATGTGCAATTAATGAAGATTGGCCACCAGGCTGGTCCAGTTTAGCCATGAAACTTCCCACACTAAAATGAAAGGTGTTTCAGTTTCATTGTCCAATCGCTGTATGTTGTTGCAGTATTTTTTTTATTTTGTAGAATCCTGACCGAATAGGTGCTAAAATTGTAACTCTTAGGAAATGCTTGGCCAAAGATTTAAAGAAGAGCTTGGCCAAAAGGTTTACAAAAGCCGAGTTTGGCTGAGTAGGTACAAGTGGAAAATTCCCATGACTTAAAAATGGACTCCTAACAATCCATCCTTCCATTTCTTAGCCTATCCAATCTCAATACCCCCAAAAAATCACTCTTTACAGATATGGAGACTTTGAATATCTACCAAGCAGATTGGGGGTGTTTGCTGTTCATTTCATGAGCCATTGACAGTTTCTAAGGGATCTTTTTTATTTTATTTTATTTTTTAAAGATTTTTTTGGCTCTAGTGGCCTTTAATGACAGTAGCTTGACAGGAAAGGGGGCAGAGATAGAGAGGGGGAGACCTGCGGGAAAGGGCCATGGGCTTTTTGAACAGAAAATAGTCAAGACATTTTTGTAGAAATAGTCAAGAAGAAGACTGTTGAGGATATTTTTTATCATTTTCAGCCTTGCCATCAGCTTGCCCCATTTGTTTTGAAAGTTGTTTCAAACACCAATGTCATCTTCATCTCAAAAAGCTTTTTGACAGGTTATTAATCCCAAATGCATCTAAACACTTACCTCAGTTCTACTTGGCCGTTACACAGCAACCCAGCACAGACATGCAGGCCTCCACCATCTATCATACTGTGTATCACTACGTCTCTCGCTAGTTCAAATAAACACATCGAAATACATGCTGTTTTGGTTGATGTGAGAACTATCACTGAGCACTTTGATGGATCCTTGATATCTCAACAAATGCTGGTTTATTAATGTGGCAGTCATATGTTGGTATGATTGCAGAATTATTTGGTTGTCTCCTGTTTTTTCATTGATTTTTGGTTTAAATATGTTCATACACAAACTGGTAAGCGAAGCAAGATGAAGGTGTAAATTCAATGAGTGTATGTGGCTAAAACCAATCTGTTTTGTTGTATTTCGTCCAAGTTAATGTCATTAAGCCAGCAGTGTGTGTGCGTGTGTGTGTTGGCAGTAGTAGAGAGCAGTTGGTTCGGCCCGTGGGGGGTTATTAGAGTCTCTCAGTGTGAGGAGATTAACACGCACACACACAAACACATAGCCAGCCTGTCACCATGCTGTGTTTGTGAGCATGTGTGTGTATTGGTGGAATATTTCTATATAAATGGATCAACTGTTGGTGTTTATTTTCTACGAGAGGAAAGTGAAACCTGAGCTGTCTGACACATCGATTATGTTTTATATCTCAGCAGCTGTATGAAAGTATGCCAGGTCACATTCAAATACAGATTCCGAACTGCTTTCCTGTTTTGATATGAACATTTTGAGTAATTGAATTTCAGTACAATTTGCGCTCTCCAGCAGATTGACATAAATTCAAACTGGTGGTCCTCGAATTAAACTGCGAATCTGTGAATAGGCAGTAAAAGAAATTCAAATAAAAAAAACATTTTTTCTGTATAATGAATTTGTGTGTGATGGTCGAACAATACTGAAGCTTTAGAAGGCCCTTCAAAGAAGGTTCAAGGTATTTATCACTGTGCCTATTTGTGCCCTGTTTCAAGATAAAGGTTTCGAGTGACTCTCTTTATCAAGATGGTCTTCAGTTGTGGTTGGAAATATTCTTCTGGAATGATATATGTGGTACAGTAGATGAAGTTTTGCAGATTTAATTGTCAGCAATGTGTCTTCCAAAATTGTCAGTCGCTAAGTTTACCAGCTTCCTCTTTTGAGTGTGTCTTGATGTGGAAACATTTGATCATTTGTGAATTACTGCAGCTGAAACTGAAATAGCACTAACTGCCTTTTAAATATCATATTGTTGCGTTCAAAAGACAAATATTAGCAGATATTATATGGTAAAAAGACCTTTCGAATGGAATCTCTTCTCCTTTCTTCTAGAGAGCTGAAACCCTCACAGACAGGGATGTTTCTTTGTCAGTTTGAAACCAGATATGCTGCAAAAAAGTAGGTTTATGTTTGTGTAACAGATTTGTGTAACAGACTAATAAACTGTCGCAATGGTTTTGTAGTTTTACTTGAACGATTTTGTCAGTGGCTCTAAGAGAAAAATGCTTCTTTCCTACTTGTGTTTGTGCGTTAATCACTCAACTGGGGGAGAGCATTAGAGACGCAAGAAAGAGCCCACCTCCTTTTAGGGACAAAAAAGGACAACCCATGAGATGAATAATTTATTTATGTGGTCAAGGCTTGGTTTATGGTTAAGTCTTCAGGAAATGTATTTATTGTCCTCTTAAGAGATGCAAGAACAGCATTGTGTGTGTGTGTGTGTGTGTGTGTGTGTGTGTGTGTGTGTGTGTGT